ACCATGTATAAATCCAGTCCAAACCCAGAAGCCAAATGCACAGGAAGGAACTGTCATACCTTATCTTTCAGTTCACCCACAGGCAGCTGAGCACTAGCATTTGTTAATGCTTGCCTTAGAAGAATACCGCCTTGAAGTTCATATCCTATATTTAGCACATCTGACATTAACCGAATGCAATATAACAGCCCAGACAGCTATAAACACAGACAAATAAGATGTGTGAAAATTTTCCATAGGAAAATGCACACAGAAACCCAAACAGCCGCAAAAATATTAACTGCATTCTTAAAAATACAGCACCAACTAAATTTTGCTTTACACAATTAACTAAAGTTTTAAGGTTCTATCCAGACTGAGATGAGCAGACCACAAAACCATTACTAATCTATTAACTGATTCAAGTTTGCAGCTCTAGTTTCAGTCATGAGTATGTCATTTAGTTGTTTTTATTTCTTACCTGCTTTGAAAACAACTCTTTATTAACTGGGCTAATTCAACAGAAAATAAATCTAGATAACTGTTGGTTCTTGGCATATACAGATATGATGCCTGGGTAAAAAAATGAGACAATAACAAATGGGCTTTCTTAATTTATTTAACAGTTTGGGCATTGCAACAGATATATACTATACACTGTGGTATTTTCTCACAACTTATACACTTCAAAAATTTGGGGCACTGTCTGTTATCTGTAAGGACAAGATCTTCCCTTCAAAAATAGATTTCAATCCTAAAGTGTCTCCAGGTTCTCTAGAATCAACACTAATGACAAGCCTCCCTGGAATCTCTTAATTCAAGAGATACTGCAAAGGGAAATTTCTGCACTGGTTGCACACATGGCAGAAAATAATAATCATCATCATCTCTATCATCACTATCTCTCTATCATCATAGCCAAAGCTCTCTAGGCAGTTTACAACAATGCATAAAAACAAAACAATAAAATACAAATATCATAGAACAAAGTGGCATTAAAATAAATTTAATAGGTAAAACATATAGTAAAACTGAATCTGTGAAAATTAAAAGAAACAGCACCTGGACTATGTAATTGTGTCAAGCCCCTGGGCAGCTGAGTAAGTCTTTAAAAGCTATGACATAAAGGACAGTTTTAAACAGGTCCCAAAAAGATGACATGTTTGGTGCCAGGTGGGCCTCAGTGTGGAGGCTGTTCTATAGATGGGGGGCCACCACAGAGAAAGCTGTCCACCTTGTTGCTACCCTCCAAGACTTCCCTGGGGTTGGCACTTGGACAAAGACCCAGATGTTGGACATAGTGTCTGAATAGATCACAGATGGGAGAGAAAATAATCCTTGCTTATATTTTTCCTAGGTTTATGTTAACATTTGGCATTTAAGATGCAAATTGAAAATGTGGTGTTGTTACATTTTAAATTTTAGATCCTTTTTGTAAGCCATTGTGAACTCTTCAGCAAAAAGGTGGGACATACATTTTAATGAATAGATATTATTACATTGCAAGGCCTTTGTTCCTTTTGTGAAGAATTTGTTCCTCCTCCACCTAGTTCTTCATTCTTATCCTCTAAACAACAACCTCCTAGTGATATAGCTCAGGCTGAGAGTCTATGACTAGCCTCAAGTCACCCAGGGATCTTCATGGCTGAGTAGGAACTAGATCCCGGATCTCCCAAGTCCCCAGTCCAATAATCTGAGTACCACACCATGTTTAGATTCATGTATTTGCAGTCTCCGTTTCAATCAACATCAATCAAATCAACTGAAACCATGCATAAATTGTACAGTCTATTGGAAATCTTTCGAATTGAACATTTCAGAAAGCCATGGAGATCCATTAGAGTAGGAGGTTTTTGTATTGGGATGAATTAAGAAACCAGAGCATAGTGACTGAGTGGATTCATAGGTAATGATGCATCGTAAGTTAAGATCCAGCCCCTTAAATAATTGTCTTTTTTCTTTAATGATCCTTATTTCCTGGAACTACTTCCCAGAAAATAAGCATTGTGGCACCCCTTCCCACTCACTCCTTTCAAATCTTTGTCCAAAACCTAGATTTTTCACAAAACCTATGGCATAACCCTTTATGATCCACATCCATCATGAATGAAATAAATGCATATCCTTCCCATTTATCCTGCCTCTACTTTCCACCTTCTCTCTCTGTCAAATTTTAATGGCAAGGTCCTCAGAGAAAGGATTTGCCCTCATATACTTTGAAAAGCAAGATATCCAACAGGGTGTATCCAAAGATTCTCGTCCCCTAACTGAGAAAGTAAAACTTTTGGATATCATCTAGCAAAGAATGACATAAAAGTACATGGAATTTCAGCACCCATGTAAACAAAGATCATGGACAATCTGCATCATCAAGTCTGCCCACAAAAAGGGAATGTGCACTCAACTTTTTACATCATTACACTGTAGAGTGGTGATAAAAAAAGCTGTTGCATATTTTCCAGGATTTATGCCACATATGCAGGATCTTCATTCAAAATCAACATGTAAACAGTGAAGGATTGCAGTCACTAATTCAGTTCTCATAACTCATCCTACTACCTAATTTTCCCAGTTTTATTCTAAGAAAAAAAAAAACCAAATCTTTATCCAAGTTTTAAAAGCAAGCATCATAGAGAGCAAACTTTAGAATAGAAACACTCACATCTGTAGTTTTAGCATGCTGCATAAACTGGTCCTACACACACAATAACGAATAATTCTAAAAAAAAAAAAATGGCATGTGAAGAGCACTGTTCACAAAAGTGTTAAAAGAAACAAAGGGGCCCTTTTATAAGCACACAAAGAAGGGAAAGCATTTTCTTTCATTTTTTTTTCATTCTGAACTGTACTTTTTTGCAACCAGCCTACATGAAAAATGTATTAATGCAAACACTGTAAATTAATACAAAAATAATATAGAGAAAAAGCAATTTAAAAATCTTTTAAATTGTGTCAGTCACAGCTTCCACAACCATAGGGAGGGCCTGCTAAGAGACAGGAGTGGGACAATTAAGCAATTTGAATATTTGCTTAAAATCCATGAAAGAGGACTAAAATCAGGTTACAATAATGAAAACATAAAACAAAATATATACAAATTTCACAAAACAAGTCATAAAATACACTGGCACTTTGCTAGGGGAACTCTCAGAGCAAAGCTGAAGGCTACAAAAGAATGCAAATTTGAACTAGAGACCTGGAAAAAAATCACTTGAGTAGACAAGCATACATTGGATAATATTCCTGTGATAAGCCTGAGCCTCCCATTACTGGTTTCCTGGATATTACTGGCTTTCTCTGTCAAAGGGCAAAGCTCCAATTGGCTTCTAACAAATTAGTCAGCTACATGGATTTCAAGTTGCGAGGTTCAGCTTCTCACTGCTAACAAGTTGTTACCCATTCAACCTCAGATGCACAAAAAAAGTTTCTAATTCACAGTCTGAAGACCCAAGGTGTGTGCCGAGGGGGGGAGGGGGTACCAAACCAGATGTTTTGTCCCTCTTGTTCTAATTAGTAGCTCTACATTTGCCCCCAATCAACTTTTAATAGGAGATGCAGTAGAAACAAAATACATTTTGCCAACTGCATTTCCACAAGCCCTGCACCTTGCAAGTTTCTCTCCTTTTTAAGTGTATGTCACAAGAGGATGGACAGACATCTTTTTACTAATCCCCAACAGACTCCTGGAATATCTGTGCAATCTGCTCTGCAAACAAACATTCAGAATTCTACATTTAAATGTGGCATCGAGGGTGGATTTTTAAAAGAATAACCTCTATCCCAGTTTACTGATTCTATTATCTTTAATAACATAAGAAAAACATGAAACAAGCTTAAGGCTTCATGAAGATAGCTCCAAAGCCTCAGAGAAATTTCACTAAAAGCCTTCCTCTTTCCAAAGACCAGCCATCCACAAACTGGTGCATTCCGAATATTTTAGAGCAATACTAAACATTGGACCAAACAAAACTTTCCTGGCCACTGGCCACAATGAACGAATAACACCCTCCCACTTGTGTTCCCTAGTAACTGGCATTTGCAAGCCCACTGCCTTGGATGCTGGGGGTAACACACGGCCATTGCAATGGATCGCCACCAACAGCTTTATCCTCAATAACCCCCTTTTAAAGCTGTTGAAGTTGGTGGCCAACATTTATTATTTATTAAAATAATGGGAAGATGTTTTCGCCTGATGCCAAAAAAAACCCCAAAAAGTGTCGCTGGGGAGCAAACCTCTTTGGGGAGGTTCTATACAAAGTGTTGAATAAAACACTTAAACCATGCTAAGTGCACTTAACTGATTTTTCCTCAATCAAATAATTCAGCTCAACTGACAGATGTCTGCTGGAAAACAATAAATGGAACTCTTGTTTTAGTTTGGTTTACAATATGCAAGCCACATACACATCCCAAAATATATCACTGTTGGTTTAGGGTAGCACAAAATTTTCCAGAAAACCCACAGAACTGTCTGGCCTGCACATTAAATAGTGGTGGATCACTGTGACTCAGGAGAGGTGTGGGGGGGAGACACTAGCTCAGGGTAAAGCATATGTTTTCTGCAAAGAAGGTCTCAGGTCATGGGTTCATCTCTAGCAGTGTAAAGAAAATCAGGTGATTGAAAAGTTCTCAGTCTACCTTAGAGACACTGTACTATTAAGATTAATCAGATCAATTAACAAATGCTCTAGTATAAAGCAGGTGCACCCAAGAAACTGTCCAAAGGATTGCAGACACCTGGAGAAGGACCTTAAACCTTGGATATGCATAGCTTCATGCTGAGAGAGGTAATCCATCAGATATTGTGGTCCTGACCCATGCAAGGCTTTACAGATGTAAACCAGCATCTTGAATTGGGTTTAGAAATGTATAGGCTGCCAGTATAAGTGAACCAGAATTGGTGCTATATGTTCGAGCCTTATTATAAATCTTGCCCTTTTAATTAATCTGGCTGCCATATTTGCATGATCTGCAGCTTCAGACCCATCTTCAAAAGCAGCCCAATCAGACTTAGAGGTTACCTGAATGTGGATGACTGAAGCCAGATTATCTCTATCTAGCCAGATAGGGGTATATAGCTGGACTATGAAACAAAGTCACTGCACGTCACTGGAGTGGCACTAAGGTCCCCTGACCTTGAAGTGGCAAAGATGGCACTAGCAGAATCCTCAAGCCACAAACCCGCCCCTTCAGGAAGCACGTAACTCCATCCAGAACAAATTGCTCTCCATCCAGTCAAAACAGCAACCCAGTCTTGTCTGGATTGAGGTTCCATTTATTTGCCTTTATCCAGTTCATTGTTGCAGCCAGACCAATCTCACTTGTCTACACCCTCACCTGATAAAGACAAAAAGGAACAAAAGATGACAGTGCACTCCTCAATTCTTTGGTGATTTCACTAAGCCATTTCATGTAGATGTTAAATAGCAGGAGGCAGAAAACTCACCCCTCTATGACCTCTTACTGGAGAATCCACCGAGCAATATTCACCAGGCTCCAACTTATGATGCCAAACATCCAAGCAGGAATGAAACCACTGCAATCCAGTGCCTCTCACTCCCAGTTCAGACAACTGTCCCAGAAGAATAACCATGGCTGATGAGATTGAAAGACCCTGAGATATCAAGATGAATCAAAAAGGTCACATTCCCTCAGTCTCTCTCGGCCATAGCTCATCATACAGGATGGCCAACGCTGTGTCCGGCCTTCACCCTGACTGCTATTCACACAGTCCAGAAAAGTAGTTTAATAAAACAAACTGGACATCAGACATACCAAGTCATATTAAATGGGAGCAACTGGCAAGAATGATATACAAAGGTACATTTTATCATCTGGTTTGGTCAATTCCTGGTTCATACCAGGAGCAACGTTTTCTAAAACATTTCTGGGGACCAAATTGCCCACTGATACTATTGGATAAATAAAATTAGTGTACCTAACTATGGGAAAAAGCCAAAAACACAGTAAGGCATATACGTGGGGTATCAAAATAGATCAGTTGGGACTAAGCATGTTTCATGGCATGGCATGCTGACTAAAGAAATTTGGAGGAGTGGAGAGTATGGAATAGAACTGAAAATGGATAAACATAAGCACTCCATACTGCAATGTTCTGTTGCAAGGCTCCTTTTGCGCCTACCAATAAGGAACACATATCAAGTTATACCTGATGACTGCTATGTTGGCAAAATGGAGACTAGAACAAGATGGACTGGAATTCTGAAAGGAACTGCAAGGTATGCAGAAGTAGAAAAACGGTCTTTAGGAGAAAAAAGGCAAACAACTTTTTCCAATGCATCATACATAAATATGCACATTACCACAGAATATATGAATATTGCACAAGTTATAAAAGGCAGACATATGTTCATATACAAAAAATACAATTCCTTTTAAAATGCATTAAACAGTCTCACGTTAGTATATAATTTAATGTATCCACAAGAAAGCAATAAACTCAAATTTCATATTTTAATAAGTCGTGACAGAAGATACAACAGCCCTTACTACATCAATCTATGGAATAGGTTTTGTAGACATTTCCAAGAACAATTTCCTTCTCAGTTTAGCCAATGTATACAACAGTAAGCTTGCATTGCACATTACCAAGTGCAACAAGTAATGAGGAAGCATACAGGGACTCTAGATTCAATTATTAAGATCTTGATTATCTGCTAGAGTATACTCCCATGTTAACTCACCTCAGTCTCATGGAAACTTCCTTAGAATAATTTGCAAATTATTCCAACACAAAGCAACTCAGCTATGCAACCATCATCCAATGTATTCATGTGGGGAAAGACACTGAGACTAAAATCCTAAGCCCAGTTCCCTAATTTAACTGAGTGCACTACTAAAACTACTCGGGGAGAGGCAGCAAAGGAATTAGTAGAGAACAGACTTCTGTTCTGAAGCAATGTAATAATATTTGATTTTAAAGCAACTACTCCGATTATTCCAATAGAGTGATTCCTTATACCAATGACCCATGCTATGCACAGATCCAGAACAGGAAAGTATCAGGCTGCAAAGGAATATATGCTACTCTTGCTGATAATGTAACAGATTGGATCCATTTCCTGCAAAAATCTGGCCCAAACTAATTCACCCTAAAAGACTAATGAACTAAAGAATGCAACAGTTTTAATCCTTCCACACACAGCCCAGCACCACCAAGATGCTGCAGTTTATGTGATCTGTCACTGTTATAGGAAAGAGGAATAATGATTTATGCATAATTTGCACACTGCCACTCCTACCTGTTTTCCCTACAAGACTTTTGTAACATGTGAGCTCACAGCAGTTACTCACAGCAAAAATTAACAGTATTTCACAGTAAGACTGGCAATATGATTGTAATAACTAAAGTTACTCTTAAGTAATTGCACAGAAAGAGAGAAGGGGTTTACAATAGCAGGGGAGTATGAAGATGGGAAAGAGAAGACACTAAGTATGAATTTAGGATGAGGAATGCATTGAAATCAAGGCTGATGGTTAAAGTCTTGAAAATGAAAATGAGAGAGACAGGCAGAGATAACCAGGCAATCTGAAAAATTTAATCCTACAGGTGCAAGAACCGTACAAACTATGTAGAGCAGGGGTCTCAAACTCGTGGCCCACGGGACAATTTCCGGGACGGGCGGGGCACGGGGGAGGGGCCCTGCGGCCTTCAAAGCGCCGGCGGCGCCCGGACCGGCCGCGGGATGAGCGGCCCACCCCCACCGCGGTGGTGGGATACTTGATGCGGCCCAGCCTCACCCAGACTCTACTTCCAGCGGCCCCCAGGTAGGTTGAGTTTGAGACCCCTGATGTAGAGGAAGGAAAGTGCTCTTGGACATGCTCTAAAGCACACTTCCACATGCTTCACAGTGTATTCCTCCAACAATCAAAAACAGCTTCTGGAGCTCAACAATATTTAAAACAACAACAAGGCAGCTTTCTTCAATGTGTATTGGCTCACAATGTTCTTCATCCCCCTAAGCTAGCAAGGGAACAACGGGACTTGTAGTACAACCTATCTGGAGGACAGACTATAAAAAAGATCGCCCTTTGTGCAAGGGAAACAAGAAGAATCCCAGCCTTTAGAAATTCACAAGGGACGTTTTATTTATCCTGCCTGAACTGAGAAGCAAACACAAAATAGGAAAAGACTAGACAAGGTCAGGATTGACATTTGAAATACATCCCCTGTTCCAGTGGGTTTAATAACCGCTTGACATAAAGTAATTTATGCAGCTAGTGAAGCTTATCCCATCCCCGAGCCCCGTGCCAGAAAAAGCTTAGTTTCCGCAAAGCAGTCTGAACCAGTAAGTAAGAATAATAAGGAACTGGCACCCTTAGACCAGTGAGCGGGGACGGGGGACAGGTTTGGATTCAACGAAAGAAGGGGCTTCGGACAGGAAGCCTCGGGCAGGTGTGTCCAGAACAGAAGGAAGCAAGTTTTGAAGTTCAGGAAAAGCGACAGAAGCAGACCGAGCGGCTACGAAAAATTGAGAAGAAAGAAAGAAATCGGAGAGGGAATACCCAGGGTGGGGAACCGGATCCAGGGCGCCCAGGGAGGAAGAAGGCCGGTTGCACCCCAAGTTTCCACCGCTTGCCGCCCACCCAACGCCTGCACAGCGCCCTTTCCCGCACCCACCGAGAGGCGAGCTGTCGCTAGCCCGGGCGGTCGGCGCCGCGAGAGAGGCAGGCGAAAAAGAGCTAAACGTCACGGCCAGTCCTAGGGGAGCCATCGCTAGGCGAAAGGCGAGGAAGGGGCGCCGGTGTCCAGGCAGGGGCCCTTGGGCTGCTCCAGCGTCTGCGTACCAGCAGCTTCCTCAGCCTCCTGCGCCCCCCGCTCGCTCGCTCGCTCGCACGGACGGAACTCCCTCAGCCGGGCGCGGTTCCGCTAGGCTCCGCCTTGCCCCCAAACGCTGACTGAGCATGTCCGGGAATGAGGCGCCTTTCTGTACGAAAGTTAGCTCGAAGGGCAGGGAAAAGGGAGGAGGGTATCTTTTTGCCTCTTCTTTTTCCCGGGGGGAAAGTGGTGCATAGCAAGCGTCGCCTTTTGCCGTTTGCAAAACAGCTCTCTCCACCCATTCCTGTTCCTTGAGTGCGACGAGTCTTAAAGTCTTGCGAGAAGAGGACTAACAGCACTTCGAGACTAGCCAGCGGCGGCTTCAATAAGCTCTGGTACACCGGCTTCAATAAGCGCTGGTGCACCGAAGCCCACTTGGTCAGATGCTTTCCAGTCATGGGGTGTGCCTGGCAGAATTGGCTTGCGGGTAGAGCAAGATCGCGTTACCACGAATCGGCTGGGCTATTCGAGTGTCACAGGCTCCTCGTTTTTTTGTTTGCAGCAGACTCAAGGCAAAATCTGTTGCGTGCTTAGGCGGGAAAAGGCTCTGAAATTCCTAGCATGGCTAGCTGGGGCATGCTGTTCGTTTGTAGGTCTAAACACGCACAGGACTTTACCCCTAAGGCTGCAATCCTACGTGCCAACTTTCTTGCAACCTCCAGATGCTTCGGGCATAATTCCCATTATCCCTGTGAAAGCCAATGCAGTCCAACGACCTGACTGGCTATCATCAGCTATTAGATCCAGGAACGTGTCTCACTGGCTTTTTGAATTCTGTGGGACTCGCGGCTCAATAGCCATGCGTAGGATTGCACGTATACTCCAAGGTAGTGCTTTTCAAGCAAAGACTGGAATTCCTGGGTTCTCCATGCATCCCCCTTCCCGGTCAAGAACCAGGTGCCCTCCAGATGCTTTGGACTAAAACCCCCTTCTGCTCCAGGCAACGTGACTAATGGTCAGGGATTCTGGGAGCTGTCACCCAAAACAAATGGAAGGCACCAGGTTGTGCCAGGGAAGGCCTCCCAAAATGAATTTAAGTAGGTAATAAGAGTACCATCATATCTTGAATAGGACTACCTAAAAGTCACAGAGCTATGAAATAGCTTCCAAGTTTCACTGAACTATCCCAAAGGCTACATTAAAAAAATATAGCTGGTAATGGCCATAGTGAAGAGCTAACTGTAATCAATGTTTTGTTCCTTTTGGACCTATACAGTGACTGCAAAATATATCCTGAATTGGAGACTACTATCCAGTTAAATACTTAATGCTTCTCCTCTTGAATGTACATGTGTGTACACCCCATACCTGGGCACTATTCAGCTCCAATTTGACAGATGGGTGGGCCCAAAATCATAGTGCAAATTTCATATCCCATATTTTAACATCAAGAACACTACTTTGATGCTTGCAGCTGTTAAACATCAAATGTATCCTAGATCTAGTATCTAGGCATTCCAGAGTTTATGACATGGAAAAAACTCAGGCAACTCAGGTTGTGACAACCTAGATTGAGGCTAGGTATCAGGAAAAGCTTCCTCATTGTCAGAGCAATACAACAGTGGAACTAGGGGCCTAGAGAGGTGGTGGGCTCTCCCACACTTGAGATTTTCAAAAAGAAACTGGGCAGCCATCTGAGTGGGATGGTGTAAGTCGGTGTCCTGCAACAGCAGGTGGTTGGACTTGATGGCCTTCTTGGCCATTTCCAACTCTGCTATTCTATTATTCTAGATCCATGTGCAATAGTGTTACCACTTAACAGCCCACCTCCAAAAAGCACTACATATGGTGGCTGCAGCTGTGTGAAGATCAAGTAGTATCTGGCCATTCGTACAGTAAAGTGATTTTTACCGCATCCCTACAGCCCATCAGAAATGTGAATTATGGCAGCATGGTAAAATTCAGTTCAACATTTAGGCAGAAATATGGAGAAGTAGGTCCCACAACTTTGCTCCTTCGG